TTTGGCATCATCTGTTCCAAAGGATTTTCTTCCAAATTCCTGAAATTTTTCCTCCGTTTTATACTTCACCTTCTGAACATTTCGTAATAGTTTTGATAGCATTTTTTTTCTTTTTCCATCCTACCATCAGCCTCCTGAAGGTCATAGACAATCACTGCTCCTTTTCTAATTCTTTCACTCAAGATTGTCCTGTCTTTTGAGGTTTCTGTTATCATCTCCTGTGCTTTCTGGTTTTCCATGAGAAACCCTTCAAGACCCCTTATTCTCCATCTTAAATTCTTCACTCCTGCTATCTTCTTTATTTTTATGTCCACTTTTACTCTCCCCTTTGTTCCTTCTAATGCCTCCTTTAGTTTTTTAATTTATCTTATAATTATTGGCTATTCTATTGTTCACAATTACTCTTTTCTCCTGCTTTAGTCTTTTAATTTATCTTATAATTATTGGCTATTCTATTGTTCACAATTACTCATTTCTCCTGCTTCTTGCCTTTCTTCCTTGGTGTTCGGACCATTTCTTATATCTTCTCTCAGTGAGCACTTAACTTTCTTTCCTATTCGTCCTCTCATTCTCACCTCAGTCGACTAACATCAGATCTAACAATCTGCATCCTACTACCCCTTCTGCTCAACATCTGCTTTAGTGTTCTTCTGATGTCTTATATAATTTCACCTAGAAATGTACATAGCTAAGTTTATAAACTTTGAAGACACCACTGTTGTAAAATTCCATGAAGGTTTCAAGCACGAAAACATTATTTCAATTTTCCCAATTCATTTTCCCTCCCCAGCCTGGGACTTACACAAACCAGAATCAATTGGTCTTTAAGTAAGACTGACTAGTAAATGTGTAAGATTTTTAAACCTTGAGAAAATAACATACAATAATTTGGAGCGTTAATAGGTGTATTAGGCAGTAAATATATTTAACCTAAGATAGGCCACCAAAATAAAAAAATATAATTTATACATCATCAGGTTAGACATTTTTCACAGAGTCGAACCTCATTTTTGCTTCATTAAAACTGACAAATTAAAACTTACACAATTTAATATCACGACAAAACATCCTTTGAGGAAAACTTATCAACACTAAATGTTTAAAGACCAGAAGATGAAGTCTTCAATTATTGCACTAAATTGATGCCGTTCGCATTTCTTTTATTTTAATAATGGCAAAGTGCTAAATCTGTAGGGGTCACGTATCGCTTGTGTAGTGGGAGGCATTCAGATCTGATCCAAGGAAAAGGAGGATGAGTCGAATTCCTTACTATACCATTTCGAGATTGAAAGTGAGAAAATAGCATCTACACACTCCACCTAAATTACTAAATTACCTAAATTACTGGGAAAGCCTTCAAGTCTTGAACATGTACTCACTGGAGAGGAGGAGAGAGAGTTACATGATAATATATACCTGGAAAGTACTCGAGGGCTTGGTCCCAAATCTTTACACTGCCATAACCACATACTGGAATGAGAGGTATGGGAGGAAGTGTAAAATAAACCCAGTGAGGAGAAGGGGGTGCGGTGGGCACAATAATGGAACACTGTATAAACATCCGGGATCCTAGACTACCAGAAGATATAAGAAACACGGCTGGAATAAGTGTAGAAATCTTCATGAGGAAACTGGGCAAGTATCTTCGCCAGGTGCCAGATCAACCAGGCTGTGATGGATATGTGGGGCAGCGGGCCTCCAGCAGCAACAGCCTGGTTGACTAGGCAAGCACCAGAAGAACCTGGCCCATAGCCGGGCTCCGACAGTAATGAAACTCTCGAAACTCTTTAAAGGTAATTCAAAAGTATATCAATTAACAACACCAACCTTCTACGTATAATACACCAGTGTAGAAATTCTGAAGCCGACCAGAGGCTTTCTGACGTTATCTCATTTAAACCAATTTCGGGAATGGTCTACATAAGTGAGCAGAGATCCCCCACACTTGTCACCTGTTCCACGAACATTCACCAAGCCGTCGTTGGTGGAATATATTGTAAGACGACTGTGTCACTACAATAAGATAACTGTGTTAAAGTAACACTATACTTAGACACAGAACCCATATATCACCAGGACTCACAGTTAAATCAAAATATTACCGCGGCAAAATTCACTCAGATAAAAACTGGATTAGACGAACTAAAAGTGAGTTCAAAGTTACCTTAGTTACTATCATAACAATTTTTAAATTATAATGTCATTAGGGTTTAGAATTTTACATAGGCAAAGAAAGATTACTGATTACTCCTCACTTTTCATGTGTTGTTTCAGTGTAATTATTTTCCTGAGAACGAATTTTCTAAGTTTAATGTTGAGTGTGAAAATATTCTCATGTTGAAATTAGGTCAAATTTATCCTTGGTTAATAGAAAGAGATGTTTAAAATATAATTGTTTTATTGCATTAACAAAATTACATTTTGTGAGCGTCAGTCATAGTAAAGAAAGAATGTCGAGCGAGGAAGCAGTTTTTCATCCATAGTAAGGGCGTCGGAAGCCTCCAAAGCCTCCAAAACTACCGAAGCCTCCAAAGCCACCATGACCAAAGTGACCGGGATCTGCTTCAGGCTCAGCGAGAGCTTCAGCGCTTCTCTTTCCTCGGTACCCGAATCCACCATATCCTCCTCTGAAGCCTCCAAAACCTCCTCCGAAGCCTCCACCAAATCCGCGATGACCAAAGTGACCGGGATCAGCTTCAGGCTCAGCTAGAGCCTCTGGATCAGCTTCAGCGCTTCTCTTTTCCTCGGTATCCAAAGCCACCATATCCTCCTCTGAAGCCTCCAAAACTCCTCCGAAGCCTCCACCAAATCCGCGATGACCAAAGTGACCGGGATCAGCTTCAGGCTCAGCTAGAGCCTCTGGATCAGCTTCAGCGCTTCTCTTTCCTCGTATCCAAAGCCACCATATCCTCCTCTGAAGCCTCCAAAACCTCCTCCGAAGCCTCCACCAAATCCGCGATGACCAAAGTGACCGGGATCAGCTTCAGGCTCAGCTAGAGCCTCTGGATCAGCTTCAGCGCTTCTCTTTCCTCGGTATCCAAAGCCACCATATCCTCCTCTGAAGCCTCCAAAACCTCCTCCGAAGCCTCCACCAAATCCGCGATGACCAAAGTGACCGGGATCAGCTTCAGGCTCAGCTAGAGCCTCTGGATCAGCTTCAGCGCTTCTCTTTCCTCGGTATCCAAAGCCACCATATCCTCCCCTGAAGCCTCCAAAGCCACCGAAGCCTCCACCAAATCCTCGATGACCAAAGTGACCAGGCTCAGCATCTGGAGCAGGAGCAGCGCTTGTTGCCACCAAGCAGAAGGCAGCCAGGACGGCAGCAAAGACCTGGTGGATCAACACATTTTATATTATTATTTAATTACTGTCGTACAAAGATGATCATTGTCTTAAATACTGTGTAAAGTTATTGTTCTTTACAAATAGTTTTTTATAAGCACAATACATTAACAACGTAAGTTTTTACATCTGTTAAGAATATTAACTATGTATTGTTAGTTGTAAATTTAAGTGTGCTTGACGTATCCTTCATAAATACTGAGGTATTCGATGAGTCGTCTTCATTCTTATGAAGAGAGATGCTTAATATGCTTGAGAAATTAGATAAATAATATATGTGAGTAAAAATATATGGCAACAAATATAAAGTTGTTGAGAATACTAGTATAAAATAGCAAGATGTAACTAACCAGAGTGTTCATGGTTGTGGAGGATCTCTGGGTCGACTGTGTCAAGCTGAGGGTGATGCCTCCTTATATACCACTCACCAGACCCGCCAGGTAAGTATTACCAGTCATAGTTTTTCCAAGAACGACTCCCACTTTTTTGTTCTGTTCGTTCTACTACTGGAATTCCATTTTTTGACATGTACTGAGTAACACAGTTTATATGTATGTGCTTGTATACATGTTTGAGTACTTATCTGTATATGCTCAGTAATAAGTTATTATTAATAACCCACATGAAGACAGCGGGGGTCGAATCTCAGCTCCAGGCTACACCTCTCAACTTGCTGCTTGCTAGATTTACACATCTCTTCCCTTGTGGGCTCTGTCGCACTTGCTCCTAAAACTATGTATGGAGTTTGCTTCCACATCCTCAAGTCATTCCACTTCCTGTACCACCTCAAAGCAGAATAATTTCTTCCTGATATGCCATTGGCACTTCTGTGTCTTTAACTTCCAATTGTGATCCCGTTTACGTTTTTTCGCCTTTCAAAGAGTCATACCTTTTCTATCCTATAAATTCCAATGAGTATCTTGTATGTTGTTATCATTTTTTTTTTGTTCTTCTTTCCTGTAAAATTCTCTACTTTATTTCCTTTAGCTGATCGTCTCGGCTCTTGTCTCTTAACCCTGGGACTAGTCTCGATGTATGTCTATGCACTTTGTCCAGTGTCTTATGTTTTAATGAGTAGTGGGTACCATGTTGGTTCTGAATAATCTAAGACGGGCCTGACAAATATATATAGGCAGTGAAAAGCTCTGTAAGCCCTGTTGGGTTTTATATTTCGTGTCATGGTACTAACCCTGTGCTACGCCTGGTTGCGCTAGACTACCTAGACTTCACTGCGCGACACACTGTACTCACCTATTTCTGGTTCCAGGGGTCAGTTCACAGCTCCTCGACACAACTCTTCGCTAGTGGCTAATAGTTCCCCTCTCTCCTTGCTCCAAGAGCCTTATCGTACCTCTCCCAAAAGCTGCCTTCATTATTTCACTCGTGTAGCAGACGAAATATGGACCAGAACTGCCCTTCTTTGATTTCCTTTAGTTCAGAAGACCTGACTAGGGCAGCCTAAACACAATGGCTGTAAAAAATAAAAAAAAGCTAAGACACGCCTCACTATAATAATAATAATAATAATAATAATAATAATAATTATTATTATTATTATTAATGTCACACTGGCCGATTCCCACCAAGGCAGGGTGGCCCGAAAAAAAAAACTTTCACCATCATTCAATCCATCACTGTCTTGCCAGAAGGGTGCTTTACACTACAGTTTTTAAACTGCAACATTAACCACCCCTCCTTCAGAGTGCAGGCACTGTACTTCCCATCTCCACGACTCAAGTCCGGCCTGCCGGTTTCCATGAACCCCTTCATAAATGTTACTTTGCTCACACTCCAACAGCACGTCAAGTATTAAAAACCATTTGTCTCCATTCACTCCTATCAAACACGCTCACGCATGCCTGCTGGAGTCCAAGCCCCTCGCACACAAAACCTCCTTATCCCCTCCCTCCAACCTTTCCTAGGCCGACCCCCTACCCCGCCTTCCTTCCACTACAGACTGATACACTCTTGAAGTCATTCTGTTTCGCTCCATTCTCTCCACATGTCCGAACCACCTCAACAACCCTTCCTCAGCCCTCTGGACAACAGTTTTGGTAATCCCGCACCTCCTCCTAACTTCCAAGCTACGAATTCTCTGCATTATATTCACACCACACATTGCTCTCAGACATGACATCATCCACTGCCTCCAGCCTTCTCCTCGCTGCAACATTCATCACCCATGCTTCACACCCATATAAGAGCGTTGGTAAAACTATACTCTCATACATTCCCCTCTTTGCCTCCAAGGACAAAGTTCTTGTCTCCACAGACTCTAAGTGCACCACTCACCCTTTCCCCTCATCAATTCTATGATTCACCTCATCTTTCATAGACCCATCCGCTGACACGTCCACTCCCAAATATCTGAATACATTCACCTCCTCCATACTCTCTCCCTCCAATCTGATATCCAATCTTTCATCACCTAATCTTTTGTTATCCTCATAACCTTACTCTTTCCTGTATTCACTTTCAATTTTCTTCTTTTGCACACCCTACCAAATTCATCCACCAATCTCTGCAACTTCTCTTCAGAATCTCCCAAGAGCACAGTGTCATCAGCAAAGGCAACTGTGACAACTCCCACTTTATGTGTGATTCTTTCTTTTAACTCCACGCCTCTTGCCAAGACCCTCGCATTTACTTCTCTACAACCCCATCTATAAATATATTAAACAACCACTGTGACATCACACATCCTTGTCTAAGGCCTACTTTTACTGGAAATAATTTCCCTCTTTCCTACATACTCTAACTTGAGCCTCACTATCCTCGTAAAAACTCTTCACTGCTTTCAGTAACCTACCTCATACACCATACACCTGCAACATCTGCCACATTGCCCCCCTATCCACCCTGTCATACGCCTTTCCAAATCCATAAATGCCACAAAGACCTCTTTAGCCTTATCGAAATACTGTTCACTTATATGTTTCACTGTTAAACACCTGGTCCACACACCCCCTATCTTTCCTAAAGCCTCCTTGTTCATCTGCTATCCTATTCTCCGTCTTACTCTTAATTCTTTCAATAATAACTCTACCATACACTTTGCCAGGTATACTCAACAGACTTATCCCCTATAATTTTTGCACTCTCTTTTATCCCCTTTGCCTTTATACAAAGGAACTATGCATGCTCTCTGCCAATCCCTAGGTACCTTACCCTCTTCCATACATTTATTAATAATTGCACCAACCACTCCAAAACTATATCCCCACCTGCTTTTAACATTTTCTATCTTTATCCCATCAATCCGGCTGCCTTACCCCCTTTCATTTACCTACTGCCTCACGAACTTCCCCCACACTCACAACTGGCTCTTCCTCCACTCCTACAAGATGTTATTCCTCCTTGTCCTATACACGAAATCACAGCTTCCCTATCTTCATCAACATTTAACAATTCCTCAAATATTCCCTCCATCTTCCAATACCTCTAACTCTCCATTAATAACTCTCCTCTCCTATTTTTAACTGACAAATCCATTTGTTCTCTAGGCTTTTCTTAACTTGTTAATCTCACTCCAAAACTTTTTCTTATTTTCAACAAATTTGTTGATAACATCTCACCCTCTCTCATTTGCTCTCTTTTTACATTGCTTCACCACTCTCTTAACCTCTCTCTTTTTCTCCATATACTCTTCCCTCCTTGCATCACTTCTACTTTGTAAAAACTTCTCATATGCTAACTTTTTCTCCCTTACTACTCTCTTCACATCATCATTCCACCAATCGCTCCTCTTCCCTCCCGCACCCACTTCCTGTAACCACAAACTTCTGCTGAACACTCTAACACTACATTTCTAAACCTACCCCATACCTCTTCGACCTCATTGCCTATGTCTCATTAGCCCATCTATCCTCCAATAGCTGTTTATGTCTTAACCCTAACTGCCTCCTCTTTTAGTTTATAAACCTTCACCTCTCTCTTCCCTGATGCTTCTATTCTCCTTGTATCCCATCTACCTTTTACTCTCAGTGTAGCTACAACTAGAAAGTGATCTGATATATCTGTGGCCCCTCTATAAACATGTACATCCTGAAGTCTACTCAACAGTCTTTTATCTACCAATACATAATCCAACAAACTACTGTCATTTCGCCCTACATCATATCTTGTATACTTATTTATCCTCTTTTTCTTAAAATATGTATTACTTATAAACTAAACCCCTTTCTATACAAAGTTCAATCAAAGGGCTCCCATTATCATTTACACCTGGTACCCCAAACTTACCTACCACACCCTCTCTAAAAGTTTCTCCTACTTCAGCATTCAGGTCCCCTACCACAATTACTCTCTCACTTGGTTCAAAGGCTCGTATACATTCACTTAACATCTCCCAAATCTCTCTCTCTCCTCTGCATTCCTCTCTTCTACAGGTGCATACACGCTTATTATGACCCACTTCTCGCATCCAACCTTTACTTTAATCCACATAATTCTTGAATTTACACATTCATATTCTCTTTTCTCCTTCCATAACTGATCATTCAATATTACTGCTACCCCTTCCTTTGCTCTAACTCTCTCAGATACTCCAGATTTAATCCCATTTATTTCCCCCCACCGAAACTCCCCTACCCCCTTCAGCTTTGTTTCGCTTAGGGCCAGGACATCCATCTTCTTTTCATTCATAACATCAGCAATCATCTGTTTCTTGTCATCCGCACTACATCCACACACATTCAAGCATCCCAGTTTTATAAAGTTTTTCTTCTTCTCTTTTTTAGTAAATGTCTACAGGAGAAGGGGTTACTAGCCCATTGCTCCCGGCAATATTAATAATAATAATAATAATAATAATAATAATAATAATAATAATAATAATAATAATAATAATAATAATAATAATAATAATAATAATAACCTATTGATACAGCTCATTGTTGAAATTCCTGAAAGGTACTCATAGATTTGTCAAAGGCGCATTCGCTGCAGAGGTTATTCGGTTGATGTGAGCCTGTAGGTATGAAATTGATACTAGGCTCACTTGTCACTAGGTTTGATACTTGTCTCTGTTTCTCTTTCTGTGTTTTAACACATTAAAAGCGTGTTATTCAAAACTGATTGTATAATCATTCAGAAATGTCTGGTTGACGCCGTAGTTGGACAAATGGTAGATAAGTTTCAGTGTTGACGAAAGTAAATTTTGCATATACACATCTTAAATATTACTAATATACAATAATCTTAAATCTGACTAATAAATAATAATCTTAAATGTCACTAGATAAGACATAACTAAAAAAAATGGTTCTTGAAGCAATCATAAGCAGCATTATGTATGGTTAACAATGTATATCATCGAGCAAAAAGGTTACCAGTGATCTAGATTTCGTAATTAGGAATTTCACTGCAAAATATCAGAAAGAACTTAAAAAGTGAATGTCAGGCCACTTCTTCAATATTCTGTCCAGGTTTGGAGTCAAGCTACATAGCAAGAGGCTGGAGAGGATCGACAAAGTAGTAGCAGTTTGTAGAAAGAAGATACTCATGCAAGATATGTGAGGCTTTTATTTAAGTGAGGGTTGATTTGAAGTTCTTCAGTGAAATACAGAGTACGTGAACTCGGAAGAGAGTTATGATGCCCAGTGCAAGCAGCAAGGTCAACCACTTGTTTTTGTCTCAGGATTTTCCCTGGGTTTCTGAGCAGCAGCAGCCACAAACGTTTGACAATTCATTCTTCTGGCCGCACTATCATTTCCAGAGGCATCCCCGTGCTACACTGCGGGCTACATTACCCGGCCTGTGCTCCGGGCTATCATACCCTGCAGTAGAAACCGTGCTATATTGGATAGAATGGAACAGAGAGAGTAGGAGGTGGCGAGAAGGAAGGATGAAGAAGGGAGCAATGAAAGGCTAAGAGGTAGGAAGGGAGGTAGTGATGGAGAAAATGTGGAAGTACAGAGATAGGGAGGGATTAAGAGAGAGGGGTGAAATCTGGGACGGAGTGAGGGGGAGGTAATGAGGGTGGGAGGGGGAAAATTAGAAAAAAACAGAGAATGCTTATCTGCAGAAGCTATTGGTCTGTTTTGGACACATTACCCATCTTGTGGAGGGTAACGCATGAGCATTTGGATACACAAAGGCCTAGAAACTAGGGTACAAAAGAGGAGTTAACAGGAGTACATATGGATATATTTCTAAAAATTTTCGTGAAAATTGTATATTAGTTGAAAACGTCTGAAACTTTATTTGATTAATAAGATACCTTGACATATCACACAGTTTATTATCTATCTTTATATTCCTCAATAAGTGGACACTGAATCACATAGCGTTCAAGAAGTAACCATAAAGTCGCCAACACATATTTCGTATTTACTTTGATAATCGTGGGTGTCCAGTATATATCAAACTGCAGTATATATCAAACTAAGCCTAGGTCTGCTTGCTACAAGATTTATCACTCTGTATTACAAGTAGCTCCGTAAATGCGATTACCTATGTTCATGTTATCTCTGTGAATTATATATCTAACCAAGTTTTTTAAAAGTCTTCCTATCACATTCAGATTAATTATTAAACCATACCACGGACGGAGATAGAACTCGCGATCAGAGGGTCATACAACTTCAGACCGACGCACTAGCCACTCTCTAATAGCGGGGTCTATCTCCGGCCGTGGTATGATTTGTGTGCAATCGTGTCATTACGGTTTCGTGAGTCAGATTAATTATTTACTGTAACTGTCTTAATATTTCTAATACTTGACGCAATACTATCCTCTACTTTTTCCTTCAAAGTATTTTGTTTGTCTAATTTATCAACTTCATCATGAAGGAGTAATTCATTGTCTGAAGAAATATATAATAATTATACATTAATGCATCTCTTCCTGATTTGTTTATATTCATACCTGGCTTCTCTGATAAGAGAGAATTAGTTATGATTAAAAGGCCAGGCTCATTGTCGTAAGTTATCTTTATTGCAAGAGATTAAGAAAATGACCTTCAAATTCCGGTGACGATGTTTTTGAATGCAAAATCTGTATTCTTTTTAGGTGTTATTACAAGAAAAGAAACACTCTCGTCGTCATTATTTAAGATTTTTTCCCAAAATGTGCGCCCCCATGTTCAGATATAAATTGAAATGTAAAAATCCCGCCCCTCATCGTTTAATGTAGTTTAGGGAGGTATGATAAATAGGTCTGGGAAAGGGTGGGAGGCATTTTGCGTGGTAAATATCGTAGAAAAAGAGAAAGAGGGAGAGAAGAGAGATAGAGAGGAGAGAGAGAGAGGGAGAGAGAGAGAGAGAGAGAGAGAGAGAGAGAAAAGAGAGAGAAAAAGAGGGAGAAGAGATAGCGAGTGAACAATGGAACTTATAAGAGAAAAAAAAATTCTTTATGGAGTTTATTAATGTCCTTAAATGGGGGATCCTTAGTTCACTGAAAAAAAAAAAATTCCTCCTTTAGGGGGTTCCATGTTTAAATCGAGAATAATTTCATCTGATCATGAAAGTAAACACTTACTTCTTAATTTAGGAAAAAAAAAAAAAAATGACAGAAAACAGCATCAACAACTTGTAATATATTTCAAACTTCTGCGCCCGCGTTCGTAGGTGTGGACGTCTCTCTCTCGCCTGAAAATAAAATTTTAATAATAAATAAAAAATAATGATAATAAAATAATAATATAAAAATAATAAAATAATAAAATAATAATAATAATAATAAAATAATAAAAATAATAATATCTTTATTTCTACAAGTCATGAAAAGGGTTTCAGACCTAACTGAAATCGGGGCATATTCAACAAAAGCCCCCTTTTTATGCTGACCATTTTGGGGAAATTAATCAGTTTTGTCCCAGGGATGCACCCACACCAGCGACTAACTCCCAGGTACCTGTTTTTTCTGATGGGTGAAAATAGACAAACCGGGGTAGGAAAAACCCCAATGTTTCTACCTCGCGGGAACGAACCACGCGTCGGCGTGTGAAGCAGAGCTTTTGCCACCAGGACATGTAGCCCCGTGGTGAAAATGTCCCCCCGGTTTCTCTGGAACGCTTGCCCCGTCTATTTGCCCCGCCGGGGGCCCTTTTAGAGCATTGGTCACCAGCTTACCTTCAGCCTGCTCAATTTTTTTCCGTTCTGGGGGGAATTCTTAACGTTTTTGGTGGAACCGGTTACTGAACTCAGGTAGGGAGTGTGGGCGTCTTGCTTTGCTGGGGCTTGGCAAGAGGGTCCATCGGATGTAATTGGAAACTTCAAGCTTCTATTTCTATTTACAAACGACCTGTCATTCTTTTTCTTTCATCGCCCAGGTTTGGGCAACAAATCTTCCCCGAACATCGGGAAGTCGGGCTCGTAAGTTGTCAGTGGCCCTGATAAACCCAACAAATAAAAACAACTATATTTCAAAATGTTTGGACTGCAAGGCGCTGAACAGGCACCTAAAGTAATTACCTGATTAGCCGGGCTGTGGTTCGTACGTCGGTTTGCGTGCGAACAACAGCAATATCCTGGTTGATCAGGGGCAGATCCACCGAGAAGCCTGGTCACAGACCGGGCCGCGGGGGCGTTGATCCCCGAACCCCCTCCCCAGGCACATTCCAGGTGCTAACCAGAAACATTACGCTCGTTAAATAACCCTAGTCCCTTGTATGTGCACGCTACTGCAACAGTGCAAATTACGGCATTAGTAATGCAGGTAAATATTAGCGCTGAAGATTTAAAGATAATCATTACAAGTGTTCACAAAACTTCACGTTACAACTAATATTCTAGTTTCTTCACTAAAAATGGCAAATTAGTACATACATAGTCGATATCCAAATCAGTACTTCTGCTAAGACTAAGTAACTTTGAAGCTAAACTGAAGAAACAGTTGTCCTAAAATAATCCAGCACATTAAGCCTGAAGCTGCTCATACATTGCATCATCAGGTTTTCAGCACTGAAGGGATGAAAAACGTTCGCATTATTTAAATTTTTCCAGTTCGTTTTCTTTCCCTGTCTCTAAAAGCAATATGGGACCTACACAGTTCAGAACCAATCCAAACTTTACTCTAAGTACGATTGACTAGGTTTGACAGGGCTTTAGTTTTCACTAAATAACGCACAATGGTCTTGAGAGTACACAGACTGAACAGGCAGAAAACAGCCCATTATATATCTTTAACCTAAGTTAGCCCAACAAAGTCAAACAATGATATTTATTTATGATCAATAGATCAGGATAAATATTCTCCAGTTACTTAACAGAAACCAGTTTCATTAATAAAACTGACACATTACAACACACACAATTAAAAATGACGAGAAAGTTTCCGTTGAGGAAAATACATTAATAATTACTGCACAGAATCCAACAAAATTATATACCTAAACAACAAATACCCAAATAACGATACATTCATTTTGTTCATCCGCCATTAGAGTTGATAACGATCACAATTGTTTTATTATATTAAGACAAAGCGCTAAAAAACCGTAGAGGACACGTAGTGTTTGTGGAATGAGAGGCATTCATATTTGATCCAAGAAAGAGAGGATAAGTCGACTTCCTTGCATCAAGAGCCTCTAACTAGCATCAAGGCAGCCCCCTCCCCCTTTTCAAAAAACTTAATCCACTTAAGTCATGAAAATATTACTATACCATATTGAGACTAAAAGCGAGAAAATAGCATCAACACTCTCCATTAACACCAACCTTCTACGTATGATACACCATTGTTGAGATTCTGAAGCCGATCAGAAGAGGCTTTCTGAAGTTATCTCATGGAAACCAGTTCGAGAAGGTCTACATAATATTGAACAGAGATCACCCACATTATCACTTCCTTCACGAACATTTACCAAGTAATAGTTAATTATAGTGAAAAACTCGAAGCCGCCATTGGTCGAATATATTGTCAGACGACTGTGTCACTTCAATAAGACAACAGTGTTAAGGTGACACTACATTTAGACACAAAACCCTTATGTGTCCAGGACTCATAGTTAAGTCTAAATAGGAGCTTATAGTTATATTAGTTGCTATCATAATTATTTTTTAAATTATATTGTCATTAGGGTTTAGAATTTCACAAAGGCAATGACAGATTACTCGTCAATTTTCTTGTGCTGTTGTAGTGTAATTATTTTACTAAGAACGAATTTTCTAAAGTTAATTTTGTGTTTGGAAATATTTTCATGTTGAAAGTTGGCCAAATTTCGCTTTGGATAATAGAAAGAAATATTTAAAACATAATAATTGCTTTACTGCATTAACAAAATTACATTTTGTGAGCGTCAGTCATAGTCAAGAAAGAATGTCGAGGTAGGAAGCAGTTTTTCATCCATAGTAAGGGCGTCGGAAGCCTCCAAAGCCTCCAAAACTACCGAAGCCTCCAAAGCCACCATGACCAAAGTGACCAGGATCTGCTTCAGGCTCAGCGAGAGCTTCAGCGCTTCTCTTTCCTCGGTATCCAAAGCCACCATATCCTCCTCTGAAGCCTCCAAAACCTCCTCCGAAGCCTCCACCAAATCCACGATGACCAAAGTGACCGGGATCTGCTTCAGGCTCAGCTAGAGCCTCAGGATCAGCTTCAGCGCTTCTCTTTCCTCGGTATCCAAAGCCACCATATCCTCCTCTGAAGCCTCCAAAACCTCCTCCGAAGCCTCCACCAAATCCGCGATGACCAAAGTGACCGGGATCAGCTTCAGGCTCAGCTAGAGCCTCTGGATCAGCTTCAGCGCTTCTCTTTCCTCGGTATCCAAAGCCACCATATCCTCCCCTGAAGCCTCCAAAACCTCCTCCAAAGCCTCCACCAAATCCTCGATGACCAAAGTGACCAGGCTCAGCATCTGGAGCAGGAGCAGCGCTTGTGGCCACCAAGCAAAAGGCAGCTAGGAAGGCAGCAAAGACCTGGTGGATCAACACATTTTATATTATTATTGAATTACTGTCGTACAGAGATGATCATTGTTTTAAATACTGTGTAAAGTTATTGTTCTTTAAAAATATTTTTTTTATAAGCACAATATATTAACAATGTAAATTTTTACATCTGTTAAGAATATTAACTATGTATTGTTAGTTTTAAATTTAAGTGTTCTTGACGTATCCTTCATAAATACTGAGGTATTTGATGGGTCGTCTTCATTCTTATGAAGAGAGATGCTTAATATGCTTGAGAAATTAGATAAATAATATATTTGAGTAAAAATATAAGGCAACAAATATAAAGTTGTTGAGAATACTAGTATAAAATGGTAAGATGTAACTAACCAGAGTGTTCATGGTTGTGGAGGATCTCTGGGTCGACTGTGTCAAGCTGAGGGTGATGCCTCCTTATATACCACTCACCAGACCCGCCAGGTAAGTATTACCAGTCATAGTTTTTCCAAGAACGACTCCCACTTTTTTGTTCTGTTCGTTCTACTACTGGGAATTCCATTTTTTGACATGTACTGAGTAACACAGTTTATATGTATGTGCTTGTATACATGTTTGAGTACTTATCTACATATGCTCAGTAATAAGTTATTATTAATATCCCACATGAAGACAGCGGGGGTCGAGTCTCAGCTCCAGGCTACCTCTCAACTTGCTGCTTGCTAGATTTACACATCCCTTCTCTTGTGGGCTCTGTCGTACTTGCTCCTAAAACTATGTATGGAGTTTGCTTCCACATCCTCAAGTCATTCCACTTCCTGACCACCTCAAAGCTGAATAATTTCTTCCTGATATGCCATTGGCACTTCTGTGTCTTTAACTTCCAATTGTGATCCCGTTTACCTTTTTTTTTCCTTTCAAAGAGTCATTATTTTTCTATCCTATAAATTCCAATGAGTATCTTGTATGTTGTTATCATTTTGTTTTGTTCTTTCTTGTAAAATTCTCTACTTTATTTCCTTAGCTGATCGTCTCGGCTCTTGTCTCTTAACCCTGGGACTAGTCTCGATGTATGTCTATGCACTTTGTCCAGTGTCTTATGTTGTTTAATGAGTAGTGGGTACCATGTTGGTTCTGGATACTCTAAGACGGGCCTGACAAATATATATAGGCAGTGAAAAGCTCTGTAAGCCCTGTTGGGTTTTATATTTCGTGTCATGGTACTAACCCTGTGCTACCGCCTGGGTTGCGCTAGACCTACCTAGACTTCACTGCGCGACACACTGTACTCACCTATTTCTGGTTCCAGGGGTCAGTTCACAGCTCCTCGACACAACTCTTCGCTAGTGGCTAATAGTTCCCCTCTCTCCTTGCTCCAAGAGCCTTATCTTACCTCTCCCAAAAGCTGCCTTCATTATTTCACTCATGTAGCAGACGAATTATGGACCAGAACTGCCCTTCTTTGATTTCCTTTAGGTCAGAAGACCTGACTAGGGCAGCCTAAACACAATGGCTGTAAAAAATAATAAAAAGCTAAGACACGCCTCACTATAATAATAATAATAATAATAATAATAATAATAATAATAATAATAATAATAATAATAATAATAATAATAATAATAATAATAATAATAATAATAATAACCTATTGATACAGCTCATTGTTGAAATTCCTGAAAGGTACTCATAGATTTGTCAAAGGCGCATTCGCTGCAGAGGTTATTCGGTTGATGTGAACCTGTAGGTATGAAATTGATACTAGGCTCACTTGTCACTAGGTTTGATACTTGTCTCTGTTTCTCTTTCTGTATTTTAACACATTAAAAACTCGTTATTCAAAACTGATTGTATAATCATTCAGAAATGTCTGGTTGACGCCGTAGTTGGACAAATGGTAGATAAGTTTCAGTGTTGACGAAAGTAAATTTTACATATAAACATCTTAAATATTACTGATATATAATAATCTTAAATCTGAATAATAAATAATAATCTTAAATGTCACTAGATAAGACATAACTAAAAAAATGGTTCTTGAAGCAATCATAAGCAACCTTATGTATGGTTAACGATGTCTATCTTCGAGCAACAAGGTTACCAGTAATCTAGATTTCGTAATTAGGAATTTCACTGCAAAATATCAGAAAGAATTTAAAAAGTGAATGTCAGGCCACTTCTTCAATATTCTGTCCAGGTTTGGAGCCAAGCTACATAGCAAGAGGCTGGAGAGGATCGACAAAGTAGTAGCAGTTTGTAGAAAGAAGATATGTGAGGCTTTTATTTAAGTGAGGGTTCGTTTGAAGTTCTTCAGTGAAATACAGAGTACGTGAACTCAGAAGAGAGTTATGATGCCAAGTGCATGCAGCAAGGTCAACCACTTGTTTTTGTCTCAGGATTTTCCCGGGGTTTCTAAGCAGCAGCAGCCACAAACGTTTGACAATTCATTCTTCTGGCCGCACTATCATTTCCAGAGGCATCCCCGTGCTACACTGCGGGCTACATTACCCGGCCTGTGCTCCGGGCTATCATACCCTGCAGTAGAAACCGTGCTATGTTGGATAGTATGGAACAGAGAGAGTAGGAGGTGGCGGGAAGGAAAGTTGAAGAGGGAGGGAGCAATAAAAGGCTAAGAGGTAGGAAGGGAGGTAGTAATGGAGAAAATGTGGAAGTACAGAGATAGGGAAGGATTTAGAGAGAGGGGTGAAATCTGGGACGGAGTTAGGGGGAGGTAATGAGGGTGGGAGGGGAGAAATAAGAAAAAACAGAGAATGCTTATCTGCAGAAGCTATTGGTCTGTTTTGCACTCATCACCCATCTTGTGGAGGGTAACGCATGAGCATATGGATACACAAAGGCCTAGAAACTAGGGTACAAAAAAGGAGTTAACAGGAGTACATAGGGATATATTTCTAAAAATTTTCGTGAAAATTGTATATTAGTTGAAAACGTCTGAAACTTTATTTTGATTAATAAGATACCTTAACATATCACACAGTTTATTATCTATCTTTATATTCCTCAATAAGTGGACACTGAATCACATAGCATTCAAGAAGTAACCATAAAATTGCCAACACATATTTCGTATTTACTTTGATAATCGTGGGTGTCCAGTATATATCAAACTGCAGTATATATCAAACTAAGCCTAGGTCTGCTTGCTACAAGATTTATCACTCTGTATTACAAGTAGCTCCGTAAATGCGATTACATATGTTCATGTTATCTCTGTGAATTATATATCTAACCAAGTTTTTTAAAAGTCTTCCTATCACATTCAAATTAAATATTAAATCATACCACGGACGGAGATAGAACTCGCGATCAGAGGGCCATACAACTTCAGACCTACGCACTAGCCACTCTCTAATCGCGGGTTCTATCCCCGGCCGTGGTATGGTTTGTTTGCAATCGTGTCATTACGGTTTCGTGAGTCAGATTAATTATTTACTGTAACTATCTTAATATTTTTAATACTTGACGCAATACTATCCTCTACTTTTTCCTTCAAAATATTTTGTTTGCCTAATTTATCAACTTCATGATGAAGGAGGAATTCATTGTCTGAAGAAATACATAATAATTATACACTAATGCATGTCTTCCTGATTTGTTTATACTCATACCTGGCTTCTCCGATGAGAGAGAGAGTTAAGATTAAAAGGTCAGGCTCATTGTCGTGAAAGAGGTTAAGAAAATGACCTTCAAATACCGGTGACGATGTTTATAAATGCAAAATCTGTATTCTTTATAGGTGTTATTACAAGAAAAGAAACACTCTCATCGTCACTTATTTAATGACTGTTTTCCCAAAAAATGTGCTGCCACCATAGTTCAGATGATCATCTGAAATGTAATAGTCCCGCCTCTCATCGTTTAATGTGGTGTTAGGTGAGGTATGATTAAACTAGAGTGCTGGGAGAAGGGTGGGAGGCAGGTTGCTTGGTAAATATCGTAAAGAGAGAGAGAGAGAGAGAGAGAGAGAGAGAGAGAGAGAGAGAGAGAGAGAGAGAGAGAGAGAGAGATAGCTGTAGTGAACGACACTGGAACTTATAAGTCAAAAAATCCACTTTATGGAGTTTATTAGATATCCCTCAATGTGGGATACCTTAGTTCACTGAAAAAAAAAGAAATCCTCCTAGAGGCTTCCATGTATTAACTCGAGAATATTTTCATCTGATCAGTGAAGAGTAAACACTTATCTTCTTAATTTAGGAAAAAAAAAGAAACATGAGAGAAGAAGCAGCATCAACAACTTGTAACTATATTTCAAGGACTTCTGCGCCAGCGTTCGTCGGTGTGGACGTCTCTCTCTCGCCTGAGTATAATAATAATAATAATAATAATAATAATAATAATAATAATAATAATAATAATAATAATAATATCTTTATTTAATACAAGTACATGTACAAGGTATACAGACCATAGCTGACATCAGTGACACATTACTATATAGAAAGTCTCTTGTTATGCTGAGCATTTCGAGCAAATTAAGTCAGTTTTGTCCCAGGATGCGACCCACACCAGTCGACTAACTCCCAGGTACCTGTTTTACTGATGGGTGAACATAGACAACCGGTGTATGGAAACACACCCAATGTTTCTACCCTCGCCGGGAATCGAACCCGGACCCTCGCCGTGCGAAGCGAGAGCTTTAGCCACCAGGCCATGAAGCACCGTGGTGATAAATTTCCCCCGTTCTCTCTGGAACGCTTGTCCTTGTCTATTTGCCTGCCGGGCGCTTTTCAGGAACATCTGGTCACCAGCTTACTTTCAGCCTGATCAATTTTTCCGTTCTGCAGGTAATTCTCTAACGGTTTTTGGTGGGAAGCCGGTTACTGAAGTCAGGTATGGAGTGTGAGCGTCTTGCTTTGCTGGGGCTTGGCAAGAGGGTCCATCGGATGTAATTGGAAACTTCAAGCTTCTGTTTCTATTTACAAATGACCTGTCATTCTTTTTCTTTCATCGCCCAGGTTTGGGCAACAAATCTTCCCCTAACATCGGGAAGTCGGGCTCGTAAGTTGTCAGTGGCCCTGATAAACCCAACAAACAACAACAACTATATTTCAAAATGTTTGGACTGCAAGGCACTGAACAGGCAAGTAAAGTAATTACCTGATTAGCCGGGCTGTGGTTCGTACGTCGGTTTGCGTGCAGACAACCGCAATATCCTGGTTGATCAGGGGCAGATCCACCGAGAAGCCTGGTCACAGACCGGGCCGCGGGGGCGTTGATCCCCGAACCCCCTCCCCAGGCACATTCCAGGTGCTAACCAGAAACATTAAGCTCGTTAAATAACCCTAGTCCCTTGCATGTGCACGCTACTGCAACAGTGCAAATTACGGCATTAGTTAGTAATGCAGGTAAATAATAGCACTGAAGATTTAAAGATAATCATTAAAAGTGTTCACAAAACTTCAC